GCTCTCTCGACTGCAGCCCTTTCTATTCTCTGAACATCGCTCTGTAACTAAGAAAACAATATATATACTTATTTAAAAATACTTATTTAAATATAATTATTTATATACATACCTTTATGACTACTGTTAATATCTGTTGAATATGTCGCCTATGCGACGGCTCCGTCACGATTATATTTAGCTGAAAAGCAAAAATAAAAAGATTAAAAATAAATATATTTAATATTATATAAAAAATACCTACCACTCTTAAAATGGCAATCATTAAGCAATAAAATATGCTAGTTGGTAAACTAGCTAGCAGGATCGGAGGAGTCTGAAAAAATAAAAAATTTATTATAAAAACTGTCTTAAATAATTAATAGAATATATAGATAAAAATACTTACATTAACCATGAAAATAATCATGGCATTTATTGTACTTATTATTTGTACACTATCCATTTTAATTTTTTATAAAAAGCAAAGAATAGTTACTAAAAATATTAAATGCTTCGTCGATGTATACTTCTTGAGCACTACCGAACGATTGGCTCCGGAAAAGCTTTTCGGAAAAATCAGGATGATTCCTACTCTCCAAAAGAAACTCTAGTCAAATTGATAAAAATCTTTAAAGGAAGAAGAACATTGATTTCGCTTTAGACGCTCAGCATGTTGGAGGATGTTAACGCAACTAAACAAGGCTAACTCAAAAACCTTATCTCTAAGGCAAAAAAAAAAGCAATAAAATGACTAACAGACAATTCATCATTAAGATTACTCTATCTCCAATCACCTGCTGCGTACATACTTTCGAACTTCATTGAAAAAGGAACATCGAATGCTTTTTAACCCTCAGCATGAGGTAAAGCGTTATTGGAGAAAGTGCAAGCTGGTGTGGGTAGTCGAAAGTTTCCTAAATTATATGTGTGGCCCTGAAAAAGGATAGTGCACGCTGCTAGAACGCATCTTCATTTAAAAAAGGAACATCGGTTATGCTTTAGACTCTTAGCAACGACTTCTACAGCAACCTACCTTAACAACCTCTGTAGGTGGGTGGGAGAGTGGGTGAAGTCAAAGGTACATCAAATGCCTTTTAGACACTCAGCATGGGGTCTCGCTCTGTCGAAGGGGCCCCATAGCGCCCTACTATCGAAAGAGAGCGAGAGAGAGGGATAGAGAGAGAGAGAGAGAGAGAGATAGAGAACAGCATCCTCACTATACGGAGTACGCGCCTAGCAAGCTAGAGACGCTACCCCCTCTCCGAGGGTCCACACTCAGCCAGCATAAGCATATAGTTTACCAAACACCCTACCGACTTCTACAGCATCCTACCTTAACAACCTCTGTGGGTGGGTAGGCGGGTGGGTGAAGCGCCCTACTATCGAAGGAGAGCGAGAGAGAGGGATAGAGAGAGAGAGAGAGAGAGAGAGAGATAGAGAACAGCATCCTCACTATACGGCGTACGCGCCTAGCAAGCTAGAGACGCTACCCCCTCTCCGAGGGTCCACACTCAGCCAGCATAAGCATATAGTTTACCAAACACCCTACCGACTTCTACAGCATCCTACCTTAACAACCTCTGTGGGTGGGGGGTGGGTGGGTGAGTGAAGCGCCCTACTATCGAGGGGGGGGGAGACTGGCCCCCTCGAAGGGCCCACTGGCACGCGGGAGGTGTCGAACGAACATCAAATGCAACACTCGGCATGGGGTCTTACCTTATCGCGATTAAAAGGTGTCACTACCTTCACACCTTCATCGGGCGGCTCCATTGTGTCCCAGAACATACACGTATCCTTATACATTGGCGGCGCGCACGAGGTGTCAAACCAACATCAAATGCCCCTTAACACTCAGCATGGGGCCCACTGGCACGCGGAAGGTGTCAAAGGTACATCAAATCCCTTTTAGACACTCACCATGGGGTCTGACCATTAATTAAAAGGTGTCACTACCTTCACACCTTCATCGGGCGGCTCCTTTGTGTCCCAGAACATACACGTATCCTTATACATTGGCGGCATCCTTTGTCGGCTCCTTTGTGTCCCAGAACATACATTGCTTATCTACTAACGGGACCCATCCACATAAATCTTGTGGTAGGTATCGAAAGGCCGTTGTGGTCCGCTCCGAACTGGCGCGCCGTGGCCAGCGCATTCAGGGTCCGTATGGAATTTACTTCGGACCTCCGTACTTGACCTTGAATGTCCGGGAGAAGGTTGGTCCAATTGGCTATCAGGCGTCATCTTAAGGTTCAGCCGCTTCATCAGGCCCATCATGTTAGCGACGTAGACGTTCACTAGTTCGTCCGGGCCCTGATATCGGCTCTGAATCTCCTTCATTAGACGCTGTTGCTGCTGCACGCTGGTTCCGAACCACTCTCTCTCGGCCATCTCGAACTCAGCGTAGGAGAGGCATTCCTCCCTCATCGCCTCGTATCAGGTGAGGGCAGGACCGACGAGTAGCTCTGATACGGCTAGGAGCATCTCGTCTTCCGTGAGTCCTGCGCCACTCCTAAAGTTGTCTAGTCTAGACAGGAAGGTGTCGATGCTTGCATTGCCCTCTCCTGAAAACTTGAGTTTCCATCCTCGGACAATGCAACCGACATCCCTTGTAGCCGACCAGGGGTTTGGTGTCGGCTGAGATGACCACGTGCTCGGTGGGTGGTTATTTACTTCAGCATTAACTCCACTGTGTTGATGCTGTCCACCCTCTCCAAAAGGGAGCGTCCGGTCGAGGGGGGGGGGGGGTCCTGCCGGTGGCCCCCGTGGGCCTCTGTCCGGGTCCAGCTGGAGTACTTTGAGGTAGCCTGGTGTCGTAATGGTATGTGAAGGTATCCTGGAATGCTACGCTCCTACGCGTATTCTCTTGGTGACGCATTTCGCTGGAATTATTGGTATTGTCTTGCCGTAAATATCTGTTTTCGGCATTTTCCAGTGCGTTTATCCTGGCAGATAGGTCATCCAGTTGGCTCTTAACATTGCTGTTGTTGTTATATATTTGGACTAATACCTTCGTTAGACTGGACACATTCACTCTTAACGAATTTAGCAGCTTTAACTTCTTCTTATTTTCTCTGGACCGGAAAATGAGGTCTTGGATTATTACTGCAAATGTCGGCGGGAGTTGAAACTGGCTACCATCATTAGCCGTTATAGTAATATACTTATTACTGCTCGTACTCTCGCCGTCGTCCGGTACGTTTGTGATGTTTATCGCTCTTTCCTGAATCCGTGATATCACTTCTGCACTCTGCATTAGCTGGGCTAGCGGGTGTTCTCCTTCTTACTCGGATGCTGTGTGTTCCGCGCATAAGGATACTATCAGTTCCGAGCGTAGAGCTGCCCTTTTTGCCGGATTGCTGTGCTGGTTGTCGACTTCTGCGAAATCTGCCGCGGAGTAGTCGTCTAGCAACCAGTTTTGCAGTCGTCCAGCTCTCGAGAGCTTGTTCCCGCTTGTTTTAAGCTCCAGGTGTTCGAGGTACTCGTTGATTTCCTCCACCTGGAGTGTCAACATCCAGTTTTCTACCCGCTGTACTAAAAATCCGTACGCAAGTAAAAATTTAGATTTTATTAGCCGACACTATGCTCGATCAAGGGCGTTTAATAGTGTATTTACCGAAAGACTCTTCACTCGTTATTGCGCAATATAATGATCCTGCCTATCAGGCGCACTAACTGTTTGTTAGCGCGGCTGTGTTGGTTAGTATCTAAAATATTATAACGAGCGTTGCGCGTAATCATCAATAACCGCAGCTAATAATATTTAAAAAAAACACATTTACGTTGAGGCAACACGATATCAAATAAAATTATCAATTTAAGTTTCTTATATTTGAAAGTTGCCGGTGTTAGATTTCCCCGGGCCAACGGGTACAATATTATTGATTTGTGGCAACTTTCAAAACTTATTGGTGTTTACACTTATCTTAGAGTCGTTCGGTCGCACTCGCACGCGCTTACAGCTACTGTTTACAATTTTTCACCGCGGCGTCGCTGGTTGACTGAGCGCAAGGTTAATGTTAAGAACTGGTGTTTTGAACAATCATAAACACCATAGGTTCTTTTATGTTGGGCGCCATGTAACGGGGTGGGTATTCCGTTTAATTAATTGATCCACGTAATCGTATCAAAAAGCGCACGTAATTACCTATGTTAAATACGAAAATCGGAGAGCAGGAGGGAACGGGTGTCAGTCAACCAACTATCTACAAATACGAAATGAACACTTCGAAAGTACTGTTAATATCACATACGAGAACTTTTATTACCTCTTAACATTACATCCTATTCGGCCCGCGTGTTTATGTTTACATGCCGCGCGCACGACAACAACATGCAGTGTCGGATAGCTCGCCGCTCTTTGTTTGCCGAGATGTTACATGCACGCTTTTTCTCGAGTCGAGGAATTAGTTATTTGTCAATAATATCGCGATCGCGAAATTAAGCTGGTCAGCTTACCTTTTTTTTGCAGTCGTACGAAGAACGAAAGAAACGGTTCGCACTCTCGTTGCGGGAAAGTCTGTCTTTATTACGAGGAAGCTCGCGTTTTCGGTTTCGCCCTCGCTGGCGAAACTCCTCACACGCGCACTCTCACACATACTCTTTTCAGGCAGGCGGAGGCACCGTTGTTGCAGCTCCGACTCGGCTCGTATCGGCACTCGGGAAAAACTCGGGAAACGTCAAGAGTCTTGGTAGCGCAGTTCTGCGATCGGGTTCTAATCCTCGACTTTTGGCTCACGTATATACTTTTGGCTACGGTAGCTGACTCTGCACTTTCGACTAAGCGTGTCCATGGCTAATCCTTCACTGGTTCGTTTTCAATCGCGCGCGTTCCGCTTCGTCGCGTGCCGAATTCCCTCATTACATTTTTGGTCCATCGGTAAGTGCTGCCCCCGCAGGCAGCCACTAGGTTAGGCTATTAACGCTAATTCGACGTTTACCGTCACAGTATATAATTTCATTTTAATGTTAAAATAAAACAACTATCAAGAATATAAGAAGTCGATTTCAAATTTCAGCTATGCTAGTGACCGTTCCAATAATGAACAAATGTATTTTGCTGGAAGATAGTTATATTGTGATGATTGGAACTATTTCTCATGCCATTGGTAGGATAGCTTTTGCCTTAGCACCAATTTGGCAAATTTTTTATTTTGGTGAGTGTGTAATTTTTTTATTAATTTCATTATTTATTCATATATTATTAGATTTTTCACAATTTTGTTCTCTGTTTGAGCATTATTTTTTTTAAATATTTTTTAATGTTAAAATTCTGATCTACGAGTATCTATAAGAAAATAATGAAATTGAATTATCTGGTTTTAGTTTTGAATTGGATGAAAAAAAAATCTTAAATAAGTAGAAATTATTGAGCTTATTGATACTTTTTCGATACTTCTAGTATTCATTTGTTGATGATGTATTTTTCATATAAAAATTATTCATTGATTAAAAAATTAACATTTTCACATAGTTTCTAATTTACTTATGCAAAATTAATAGTAGCTAGATTGTATTGTTTTATATAATATGGAATTCTGCTAATGAATTCAAAATTTTTTCATTTTTACAACAAATAAGATGGTATGTAATCTTCGACAACGAACGTCAATAGCGAATAGTCGAATACACTTGGGCGAACACTCATGCATTTAATAGAGCACATTTGGCATATATTATAACGTCAATCCAACGTGATACTAAAAAAAGCTATACACCAAGAAAAAATGATGTAATTATTGTACTTTGTAACGGGGATTTAGTCCGCTACAATATTTAACAACCGAGAGATGCGTAATAGATGACGAAGCGGGTTCGCGCAACGGCTTTGCACGACCGACCCAGTAGCACAGACTGCCGATGGATTCGCCGGGTGGCAACGGCCCGCGGAGAGCGTCGTAGGTCGCGTAGCTGAAATCGCGAAGGTGTAGGAAACGAAAGGAATGATAGAAGGCGCAGAGTGAAAGAGGCGATAGGTATAATAGAAATATATATATTCTACGTGTATTTGTACAAAACAGTGCAGAGAGAGAAGCAAAGCGGGTAATGCGAGAGAGACGCAAAGAACGAGTAGTACTTACATCGGCTGCCGCTGTCGGTGAGATTAGTCACGAGGCTCGACAATAAAAGTTCGGTCTATCAAACGCCGATACACGCCGCAACCGGTAGCACTCAACCTAGCACTCGGTCTGTCACTCAAACTAGCCATGAAGCGACGCAAAATCACAAAACGAATGTCGTCGTCAATGGCACAGCCAAGCTATCAATCTCTAACGCAGTCGCACGCGTGTCACCAATTCGAGAGGCGTCAGCTAATTGCTTGTCCTTTGTCAAGCAGCACCTCTCTTTCGCGGCACCCCGGCTCGCCAGTCCTACCAACCTACGCGGTCTCTCTCTCTGCTAGCGTTCTCTCTCTTACCTTAGTTCAGCTGCTGTCGTCCACTGCGGCTGCTAGTAGTATAATATAAAAGTAGATACATGAATAAGTACATATATTATTGTTATATGATTAATGTGGAGAGAGAGACATAACGAGTTGTTGACAAACTCGTTATAACTTCAAAAAATATGGAGAGAAATAATTTATTAGTCCACATGTACTAGCTGGTATCTTGGTAAAGTTTTTATCTTCAACATGAAAGTCAATTCAGCTTTCCCTGTAAACATCTACTTTGATATAATTATTTATAGCAACATTTTTTCAAAATGCTTTCTAAATGCAAAGATAGCTATTTAGAAATGTTGAACTGACTTTTTAAATATATTAAAATCAACTTCATCTACTTTTTATAGTTTAGTCTGCTTTTGTTTCTCTTTGATCCACGTAGATAATGTTATCATATTTGTAACAGCACAAGTAAAGTCGGTTTGATTCTCATAATGATATGAACAGGATGTTTTTAATGGAAGAGGTAATTTTTTCAATAAAAACGCCTCATTTCGTTCTAAGAATCATAGATTTATCAATAATATGCAACGATTACCGAAAATCGTTTGACTCGCGCGATGGAATTAGCGGTTAAGCGAGGTGAGCCGCGTTCGGTTCGCGAGAGAGAGAGAGCGCGTAAGGGGCAACGACCGGGAGGGGAGGCTCCGAGCGCCAGTACGACTGTGTCACTCAGTCAGTTGGCGCGCCTAACCTCCGTCCGTGTTCCTGAGTTTTGTGTTTGCCATTGACATTGTTCCTGGTGATACTGCGAACTTGCGTGGGTGGGAGCTAGCAGCAGCAGCAGCAGCAACAGCAGCAGTAGCAGCGGTGACAACTGCAGTGGCAGCAACAACAGCAATAACAGCAGCACCAGTAGCAGCAACAACAACAGCAGGCATAGAAATCGAGGCAGGGCAGCAAGCAGCAGAGTAGTTTAATAACAGCGTGTTATTCGGATACGGTTGGCCACCGTATCCACACCGTCGTTGCGGTAGGTGCACCTTCCCTGTTTCTAATTGTTGTTAATTTTGCGTGCGAATCCGCGCAGCGAGCGCGAAGAGTTTATTGTTTTGCGTGCGAGCAGGTAGTTCGCGGCATTCGCGGTTTTTCTCTCTCTCTCTCAAAAAGCGTGTATTGTCATTCACGCGTGCGTGCGTTAGACTCTCGGCTATTTACCCGTGTTAGTGATCTTATTAAATAAATCATCCCTTGGTCTTTATTCGAACGAGTTTCCGTTATTGTGTTTCCCTTTGTCCGGAGGTCGCGCATATTTGTTTACGTTCCGATTCGAATTCGCCGGTTGCGAAGCACGAATCGCGTAAGTATCGCTAGACGCGAGTCGACATCCTAGGTTCCGGTGGTGGCCGCACGAGCGCTAATAGTACGAGCGACAGCGCCGCCAAGTGGCGAGTTGGGGGAACCCAACTCGGAACTTCGAAGAGACTCTGCGCAGGCGCACTCCTAGGCAAGGTAGGTTAATGCGCATCGAGCGCATAGATAACAAGGCTTCATATAGTTAGAGTACGGGCACTTTTAGGAGATTACCGACTAAATGACAGCCTGTTACATGGCGCCCAACTAGAATTAGGACTCACACACGAGAAAAAAGAGAGCAACGCGCGCGAGAGAGAGACGTTTGCGCGCGTGCGTAATAAGGTGCGAGCGGGGTAAAACAACGCGTGGCTCGTTCGGTACGTGCTCTGCGGTAGGGGAAAGACGCCTCTCCGACCCAATAATAACTGCTTTTGTGAGCCGAGAGCACACTAACCCCAGGGGTCGAAGAGACGTCCGTAGTCGCTCTAACGTGAAAACAAAAGGTGACTAAGTGTATTTAGGTTAACTTTTTGCTTTTTTAAGTGTTTCATTACACATTAAAGTAGTTAAGAGGGGGTTAGTCACCGAGCGACAGTACCAGCGGAGCGCGCAATTAGGGTGTGTGTAGGGTTAGACCAACTAACCCGGTGGACCTAACAAACAGTTAGCCTCCACCTATAGGCAGGTAGCTGCGAAGCGGAAGTTAGTACTTCCTTAGACTGCGCGATACCTGCACACACCCACAAGCGACGCGTATTGCTGCCTTGTAAATAAAGGCGTAACTGGGTAGTTGGCGATAAAAATCGCAACACCCCGCTCGCGCCTTGGGCGATAGGAGGCGGTAGCGGTCGAGTACGAAAACTAACCTCAACCGTCACCTACGCCCTAACATAAGCGTTATGGAGGATACCGCCGACGCGATAACCCGGTGGGCTTCGGAACTGCCTTCGACACAGCTGGACAGATACCTGACGCAACTGGAGTTGCGCACAGATGGTCCCAGGCTGATGCAGGCAGTCCGATTAGCGTATTGGTTGCTAGGCGAGTACATCGACCTAGACTTCCAAGGAGCGGCGTTGGATAGGGAGGCCACACAACGCAGGCGACGGAGCCGAGAGAGGTGGCTGGAGGCCAAGCGACGCGAGTTGGAAGCAGCCGACGCCGAGGATCTTGTCGCCCACCCACTCATGCTGCTATATAGTGATGAGGCGGTGGAGGCGAACCTAACGCGGACTCTCGCCGTCTACGAGAACTTGGAAGAGGAGAGCCAGGGCGAGATGGGGGAGCGAGAGCCCGCAGAAGAGGGGGGGACCGGCGGAGGTCAAGGGGCCCACGGAGGGGGTCGGTAGTGAGCACAAGGGCTCCACCGGATCGCCGGATAGGCGAAGAGCCCGTCGCTTCGAGAACGCGGAGCTACAACCTCCAGAGGAAGAGGAAGAGCGCTGCGTGACCGAGCGACTAAAGGAGGAAATCGAGTGCAACCGGGTCGGGATAAACCGCATATTGGAGATGCTGGAAAAGCACGACCAGGTATGCGCTCGGTGGAGCGACCAGTTGACCGCTCTGCAGGTGGAGTTCCAGCAGTTTAGAAGCAGGGACCCCACCAACCGACGAACGGTCATACCAGAGCGGCCCCGGAGGACCGTGGACTTCCAGTCCACGTATACGTGCCACTACGACCCAAGGGTGCCAGGTAGTACCCCGGAACCCCAGCGACCGACCCCTGGCGAACCTCGAGCGGCTCCCCAAAGGCAGGTGCCTTCAAGGACAGAGCAGCCACCGAGAAGAGGTCCAAGAGACTCCGACGCTGAAGAAGAGCAGATGATCCCAGAAGGATCTGCCTGGTACGACGCCAACGCGGCGTCGGGCTACTACGCGACTCGGGACGCGGGTAGGATTGTGAGAGGGTGGAAGCTGCGATACTCTGGTACGGCTTCAGAGTGCGTAGATACCTTCTTGTCTAGGCTAGAAGATCTACGCGCGGGGTCTGGGGCTAACGGACGGGCGAAATCTTGTGCTCGGTATCAGAGCTCCACGAAGGCGTTGCGAGGACCTGGTACGAGCTTAACAAGCTTAAATGGAGAGAACTACGCCGACTTCGTGGCAGGCGCTCGACGTTGGTTTGGGTCGAGTGAGCTTCAGCAACAGAGGTTGCTGCAAGAGGCCCAAGCTCGGTACCAGGAGAAGGGAGAGCTGGTACGAGAATATGCCTGCCACCTCCTTTTCATGTTAGCCCAGCTGCGTCCCCCGTTACCAGAGCAGAGGCAGCTAGATTTGCTATATGCAAATCTCCTACCCGCCATCCGGATGCAGCTGCGAAGGAACGCGTTCTCCAACGTGGACGAGTTTCACGCCCGGGCGACCGAAATCCGAAACCGCTTTGCGGGACGACGAGCGCCCGAGGACCAGGTTGGA